CGGGGCGGTAGAGGCGGTGGTGGTGGAGAGGGGGTGGAGGGTAAGGGGTGGAAGGGGTAGAAGGGGTGGTAGGGGTGATACAGGGTGATACGGAGTGGAAGAGGGTGGTAGGGGGAGAGGGTGGTAGGGGCGGTAGAGGGGGTGGTGGTAGAGGTGGTAGAGGTGGTAGGGGTGGTAGGGGTGGTAGGGGTGGTAGGGGTGGTAGGGGTGGTAGGGGTGGTAGGGGTGGTAGGGGTGGTAGGGGTGGTAGGGGTGGTAGAGGTGGTGGTGGTGGTAGAGGGGGTAGAGGGTAAGGGGTGGAAGGGGTGGTACAGGGGGGGTAGGGAGTGGTTGGGGGGGAGGGTGCAAGTGATAAAAGGAGCTGCGCATGTGGAAAAGCGAGCGTAAGCGAGCATTTGATGCTTGTGAAGAATGAAGATATTGAAAATATTTTCTTTACAGTGTGGTTATCTGCACGCTCTGGCGCACTCCCTACAGAGAGTGAGTAAGCATGGCACGGTTACTGCTTAGCATCAGTATTACAGCTTAAATTCTGGGCGCTAATCAAAACTTTTGAAAGAGACCTTCGTCAGCTTTCTCTTACTAACCTGACTTGACATGCCCGATTTGGTACTTCCCAACACCCGATCTTAGGGAATGTTACAGGCAATCAGCTCGAGAGCTCTCTGCATCGGGGTTGGGGCAGCAAGGTGCATGAAACAATCCAGGTTATTGGTATCCTTCATTTATATAGCGACCCGGCGCAATTCGGAGTTCTCTTAGACCAACCAACCCCAAAACCAAAAAGAGCAATGATCCACTTCTAAGCGCCGTGGCTGGAAAGCCATCGATGTGTCCGGTTGCATAGAAGATGCTAACAGCAACAATGTCCACGGTATCCGACACAACACCCATGGCAAGAATGTTCCGTTTCATGGTTGGTGGTTTCGCGGCTGGCAATGCAGCTCCAAACACAATATCGCGGACGCCGCCGACTCGACTGATGCTCAACGCGGGAGGTGTTGGGGGTACACATAAGATGCGGGCGATATGTGTAGGGACGGCGAGAAATGATACTCCAACCACGCACCTAAGGGAGGAGAGGATGTATATGGCAGCAGTCGACATGGTGGTTAAGGCAGGGTATAAATCCGTTTGAGAAGATTTTGTTGATGCGAGATATCTTCCTTGATTCAATAAACAATTGGGGCGGCCTCCCGTTTCGTTTTTGTGAGGTGTACCTATTCAAAGGAGCTTAATAGAAGCTGGGCAGTTATTCAGATAAATCGTAAATTATTTCTCTGTTTATATAGTAGGTCTTCAATCACCTTGGTTGCCTGCAGGTGGTTTAGTCAACCCATTCAAGTTCCTTTAACATAACGAGAGGCTCGCATGTCGCTTCCGCCAACAAGGGGGGGATGACTGGGAATATCGGCAACATGGTGAGATGTACGCCCACGGGTGGATGATTCCCCCGAGAATACGAACTCCGGATGATAATCTTCCGACTACGCTCTTCGTAGTGTGTTGTTTGCCAGTATGGCCCGTGTCCGTGCGGTATATACATGTGTTTATCAAATGACAATGCATTGATACCTAGGGAGTTATTTAGCCGCGCCTTGTTAGGCGCCAAATATTTAGGCGCGAACCAATTGAAGAATCGAAAGTGGGAAAATGCCGGTGTATACAGAAAACTTGACCTCGCTAAGTGCGCCACTTGACCTCGTTACATAATCATGACCCCGACCTCGCATAATACAGTAATAATCAGTTGGTAATTGACTTTCAACCTTTCAATTCACTCATTCATTCAGCTCATCAATCAATCAAAGCATGTATAGCTGATTCATAATCAATTAAATAAACAGATAAATTCATATAGAATATAAAGAGATGTTTTACAGAATTTTAAAATATATCAAGATAAAAATATTTAATAATTAATTTTAAATTAATTTTAAATTGATTCTGAATTGATTCTGAATTAATTATAGTAATAAAAATATATTTAATCTATATATTTAAGTAATTAATAATTGATTGAAAATCAGTTAATAATCAATTCAGTATTATTATTAAATTCAAGAATAATTTCAGTATTAAATTGATTTTAAATTGATTTTGAATTGATTTTAAATTGATTCTGAATTGATTATAGTAATAAAAATAGATTTAATCTATATATTTAAGTAATTAATAATTGATTGAAAATCAGTTAATAATCAATTCAGTATTATTATTAAATTCAAGAATAATTTCAGTATTAAATTGATTTTGAATTGATTTTGAATTAATTAAGAATTGATTGTAGAATTGATGGTAAATAATTGAGTGGTTTCAAATTACAAGAAAAGATGTATTGAGCGAGGTCAGGTAGTGGCACGGGCCACATTTGCGAGGTCAGCTTACATAACGAGGTCAAGTGGCGCACTTAGCGAGGTCAAGTTTTCTGCTTCCTGAAAATGCCGTCTGAGAACAAGCATGAATGAGCGTTAGGGCGAGGATGATTGATTATTTCACCATAATTAAAAACTGCGGCAGCGACAGCCGCAGCAACTGAAGATAATTAGATGAAGTCTTTCAAGGACTCACGGAGTCTGTTGCAAATGGGCAGCTTTTACGGCGACTGATTGAATAAGTTGAACTGATCTGCCCCTCCATTAGTGACTATTCATACAGCCTCTCTCCCGGAAACCCCTCCCATCAGCCAGAACCGAGGTGATATGTGACGCAGCTGTTCAATACACCCGAAAGTATTCACTGGCGTTGAGGTGGCATTCTGGCACTTTCCCGCTAAGCCGTCGATCATGACCGTCAATCCCGAGCCATGAAGGAAGAAGGAAACTTTCGAAAGAAGATAGATCACTTCATAAAGATGTGCGTGCTTGCAATGAAGAGATGAGAGAGAGTCAAGTTTTATAAATGTATACAAAAATATCTCGCAGGTTCAAGCCTTACCCAGTTAGGTAATGTTGGACCGCCGGTTGGTTTAACGGCAACCCAATTATTATCGCGAACTTAAACAATACATCGTTATTCCATACGCTGTAGTGCATTGCTCTCACCATCTCCATTCCAATAATTATCTCCAGCCTTCTTCCTTGAGTGTCACAAACTTTACTTCTGACATTCCCTCTATCTCCCTCGCTTGGTGCGCTCTATCGTCGTAGTATGGCCTAGGATCGATATTTAAGCAAAAAGCTACCTAGCTATACGCAGTACGCAGCGTAGTTACAGAGCAGCGTCATCCGGCACACCTCTAACCTCTGCGCGTCTGTAGGCAACCCCCCGGGGCACTTTGTGCCAATTACACTCCTTTAGCACCGTTGTATTCTCAACAATCGGTGCGCAGGGCACAGGCTTCCTTGCCAGAGACTGGCTGACCCTTTTGCCCGCTTGCCCTTCGACGAGTCCACGCCCCTGTCAAACTAAATAATAGACAACAACAGGCTGCTTATGCAATTGCTTTATCCCGCCCGGTGGTTGCTAACGACACAGCTACGTTCAGCGCCATGGCTCTTCATACCCAGATGCGAGTACGGTTGCTAGCATTGACACTACTATCATGGCTCGGTCTGGCCAAAGCTTTCTACTTACCTGGTAAGATGGTGATTCTGTGAAACTCGGACCTTACGTGGCAAACGTTAACGAGACGGACACCCGGCCGTTTAGGATACTCTATCAAAAGCTACCGCAACGACGAGGCTATCCCGGTATTCGTAAATAAGATCTTTTCAGACAATACGCAGCTACAGTACGCATACTTCGATCTTCCGTTCGTGTGCCCTCCGACTGGAAAGAAACATGACTCTCCTTTCGCAAGCGGGCACAGTATATCACTCAATCTAGGCGAAGTGCTCCGTGGGGATAGGATCATGACCTCCGACTTCGACGTTGTAATGGGAAAAGATGTCGAATGCCGATTCCTCTGTAGCCGCCCGATCGACCGCAATGATATCAAACGGGCCAAGGAATTGATCACGGATGGGTATGTTGCGGAGTGGATCATGGACAACCTTCCGGGTGCTACAAGTTTCGTCACCGTAGACCGGACGCGAAAGTACTATGCAACGGGGTTTAAGCTGGGATACCTAGATGTCTCCCCAGTGGACGGCAAACCCAGACACTACATACACAACCATTTTACATTTGTCATCCGCTGGCGTGAAGCACCGGGTAAAGCTGGTCGACAGGGCGGGAAAGTGATTGTGGGCTTTGAGATCCATACGAAGAGCATCGACACGAATGATAGGCTTGAAAATGGCTGTCCTAGAAAGCTCCAGGCTGACCATGATGGATTGGCGTTACATATTCCCTCAAATAACACGAGCCTGGCGCAGCAGTACGCTGACTCGTCCTACATCCCAGAACACGTCGTGGATGTAGACGACGGAGCCACCCTTTCAATCCCGTATACATACTCCGTCTACTTCCGGAAAGAAGACAAAGTTGAGTGGTGGAACCGTTGGGATTTATACTTCAATAACCAAAGAGAAGGAACTACAACCCACTGGCTAGCGATACTGAATTCTTTGGTGGTATCAGGCGTGCTGGGTGTCACAGTCTTTGTGATCTGGGGCAAAACAGCCCAGGGGGATGTTAAGGGTCGTGGAGATGGAGCGATGGAGGAGGGAAAGATCAGACCACGACCTCGTAAATCGAAAAGCGGTTCTAGAACACCAAAATCCGGTGAAAATATCTCGAATGGCCTTTCCGATAAGGACTTGGAAGCAGATGAACCAGACACCGACGATGAGCTCGAGGAGGTCGCGGGATGGAAACTTCTTCACGGGGCTTCACGGGGATGTCTTTCGCACTCCCGAATACAGTGGGCTCCTTGCACCACTCGTTGGATCAGGAATGCAATTACTTTTTATGGCAGCTGGCCTCCTTCTCCTGAGCTGCCTTGGAGTTCTTAACCCAAGTTTCCGTGGTGGATTTCTTTCCGTCGGCATTGGCCTTTTTGTTTTTGCCGGTGTATTCTCTGGTTATTTCTCTGGAAGGCTCTACAGGACTTTTCGCGGCCAAAACTGGCGCAAAAACACGATGATCGTGAGTGACAGAACTGTGTTTCTCTCCTTCGAGATTCCATTGTGTAAATGAAATAAATACTAACTCATAGCACCAGACCGCTCTGCTTTTCCCTGGCCTACTCTTTTGCCTAGTATTTGTTTTGAACCTCTTTGTCTGGGCTCAGGCGTCTAGCACCGCGCTACCGTTCGGCACACTTGTCGGCTTGCTGGCTCTTTGGCTTCTTATTCAAGTCCCCCTTGTCTATCTTGGTAGCTGGTTTGGATTTATGTGGGCCAAGCCTTGGGAGCATCCGACCCGAACGAACGCCATCGCACGCCAGATACCACCTCAGTCATGGTATCTGAGGACTGTCCACGGAACACTCCTTACCGGACTCGTTCCATTTACCGTTCTCTTTGTCGAGTTGCTTTTTGTCTTCAAAAACCTGCTGCAGGACAAAAGCGGACACTACTACGTCTTTGGATATCTTAGTGTTGTCTGTACGATCTTAATCGTTACTGTGGCTCAGGTCACCATAATCGCGACATACTGCCAGTTAAGCAGTGAGGTAAGTGTTTCCTCACCCCCCTGAACCGCCTCCCTTTCTTCCTAACTGCGCTCTTTCCAACTTATACTAATGACTAAATTTAAATCATCAGAACCACCGCTGGTGGTGGCAAAGCTTCTTCACAGGAGGCAGCGGCGCTTTTTGGATCTTTATGTATTGCATTTGGTACTACTTCGCCAAACTACACGTGCGCGGCTTTGTTTCGAGCCTATTATTCTTCAGCTACAGTTTCCTCGGCTGTGCCGTATACGGGCTATTAGCTGGAACTGTTGGATTCTTGACTGCTTATGCTTTTGTTCGCCGTATATACAGGTATGTGTGGGCGTGCTAGCCATATATCAATATTTTTTTCAACAACAGTCCCCTTCCCCGTTGGAAATTATTTAATTTCTTGTGGTTTTAATGGCTAACAAAACTTAACCGCCTCAGCTCAGTAAAAGTTGACTGATGGCCTGACCGAACCAAGTCCATCCTTTTCTTTTCCAATATATACCAAGCAGTTTACCCAATTACGTTTTATTTTGTTTAAACCGGACTCACACCTGAACGAAAGCCATTTCCCTTTTTAGAACTGTAAAAGTGATAGATCAACATCCAACCAACAACATTATCCTCATTTCCGTTTCTGCCGTCTAGATATAATGAAGCTATTAGCGACATCAGAACACCACTGACTCTGCGCTCTTTTTTAGCGCTTTACCTTTTTTCTTCCCTCCCCCTCCCCCCGTCCCTCTTTTTTATATTTTTTTAGGCTTTCATTCCTCATTCCCACCTTCAGATATAAAACTACAAGTTGTAATTAGCCTTTTGTCATTATTATTACTTGATTGAACTTGCGTTTCAGCGGTGCTGATGAATCTTCTACATGAATGCTGCTTTGTTAGTTTCATTATTTCTGAGACTGTACTAGTGATATATATTTTTGATGTGTTTTGACCTTGTCTGTCTGCCTTTGGTTTTTGTTTTTCCCCCTCTTCTTCTTTTTTTTTTTTTTTTTTTTTTTTTTTTTTTTTTTTTTTTCCATATATAAATAGTTATAACGCCACCTAGGACAACCCCCTATATATTTAACCTCTAGTTAGTTTAGGGGTTTAACACCTTTTCATGTGTTGCCTTGATCTCTACTCCGTAGAAAGGACAGAGTAATAACAACATCGAATAACTTCTCTATGTTTGACTCCTCAATGATCAACTTGGACAAATTTCACTTTTAGATGGATGTATGAAACCCTATGCCAATTCATCCCTATTCTAAGCCGTAACCCAGTAGAACCAGAAGACATAAATCCCATAATCCAGCAGCTACTTACGACGTGCCTCGGTTCCACAATATTTGGTGTAGGGGCATTCCGTTTTACTAGCTAGTTATTACCGAAAATATTGCTGCAGAGGTGATGGTCAACATCTCCGCCACGAGCAGTCCATCTTCGAGCTGTTAAATCAAGCGCCGCAATTATTCAAAAACGGCGCACTCCACGAACGCATGCCATGATTAACAAACCGCGCCATGCCCTTCAGTGGAATGCTGCAACTCTCAAAAGCATTAGCTTACTTGGAGTCTTAGGTTATGCACATGGAGATCAACCCCCGAAACATCCTCCTTGATAACCAAGATCAGCCCAAACGGATTGACCTCGATCATGCACTCAAAATCGGAGACGACCTACATGTTGGGTACGAGCCACACGTAACGCTTCTAAAGCTGGGCGGCGAACCAGGGGTGCGGAGGAGCTTTACGCAGAACTAGATGGGCCCGACCAAGTTAATAGGCTTATTGAAGGCGAATTACCGGTTGTGAATCGTGATAGTCCTATCGACGGCATTATTTTTCACTGCTGGCACGGTAAATTTGAGTCCACTGCTCAGCTTTAGCACGCGTTCGTCAACTTTTTGTTTTTGACAAGAAATTTGAGGAGAGTAAAGTGGCATGCTGCTTTATTTGGTCGATCGCGGTTAACCAGTCAAATCCAGCTCGAATGGACCGGCCGCATTCTTTGAAAGATACATTTGGTCCGGTTGAAGCTATGCCAAACTACTACATTGTGGGTGTCACTAGCCTCATTGGTGGTGCTGTGTCCGGACGTTAGAGATGGAGGTATTGGAATTGTAGGTAATGCATTTAACGGGGAGAATATGGATTGAATACGTGGTTCAACATATTGAGCAGGAATCAATATTCACTGTTCCGCTACAGAGCAGTTGAATAGGTGCTAATCCAGGAACTCACACTTTTATAGGTGTCCTGAAATATTATTGATATATCTGAGCTTCTTCGGAATCTTTCGTTAATGCCCATAATAAGTCATCTCCCCGATTGTGTGGAAATATGGAAGGCACTGATGAATAGAAAGCGTACGTTGCCGGTATATGGCGGACCAATCAAGTCTGTTAAGACATTTAGATGCGCAGCGACAAGACAAGCAACAAAAAAGTAACTAGTTATCAAAACGACGCTGATAATTTGCGTTATTCCCAATGTAGACGCCCAAGAATGATAGAAACAAAGGAGAGAAAATATCTTAAGAATCTAGAGTATATCACAGAAGCATGAAAATGTGGTGAAAGAAACAGAGGCTAGAAAAGGGAAGGAGAAAAAAATATATATACATCCATAAAATTTGCTCATATTCTCGCTGTCTAGAATCGATGCGCTATCTCAAATTTGTAGAAACGACAAGTAGCCGAAACGATCTTTCGTCCTGTGCTAACGCATGCTGTCTGGTTTGGAATATTCTTTTTGTTTGCTCTCCGTGCAGTGGCGGTATTCCAATTTGATGATTGTCGGGTACTGGACTCATCGAATGTTGTTGTACACCGAAGAGGATAATAAATATTAAAGGCTTCACCAGGCGCATGGACGCGAGGTAGGCTATTTGAATTCATATAACCTTTGTCGGGACAGGCTATGTCGTTTGTCATTATCGGCATTATGCGAAACTGGTGGGTTCTATTCATGGTCATCTTCCTTCGAACATTCGTCTCCACCAGGCAGGCGGGTCAAGCGGCCTGTGTCCACCATGAAGGGAAGGATAGACATCTGAAAAGAAATACCAGATGTGACCCACGACGACGCCGCAGATTTCGTCTTTCGGAATGACCCCATGCACGACAAGGCTAAATGCGATTAGGACCCATGGAAGGTATGGCGCGGAAATAGCTAGCAGGCCTAGCAAATGCAGTCTTGTTTCTGGATTCCGTCGGCTCCATATGTAGACTAGGCTTGAGGAGAGAGCTGAGCCTAGGAAGGGGAGCGAGAGTAATGGGGATAGTAGGAGGAGGAAAGAAGTGGCGTATAGGAGCAGCCACGCAAAATCGGCTGAGGTATGGCCGGCCGCCTCTTCTATGAGGCGCGAGTACCTTTGGAGGAAAAAGACGCGGAACAGAAGATCTAGGTTAAGGGGTCCGAAGTAGATGAATGTTGTAATGACTCGCCAGTACTATTAAATGACAATCAAAGGTATTAGAACTGTATATATGGAAGATAGAACGAGCGCGGAGAGGGGTGGCTTTGCTTACCTGGGACTTGGCATATACGGCGCGGAAGCTATAGAAGAGCTGAAACGGAGTGACAACGCCGCACTGAACCAAGACAGACGTGGCTAGAGTGGCAGCTGTCCACCATCGCGTGCAGACCGGCATCTCAAAGAACCATTGCTCTAGGGGGAATTGGGCCCCTCCTGGGCGCCCGTTACCCCAGATCGCGGCCATTGGGTGACCGGAATTCGGAGGTTGGAGATGTCGTCTATCTTGTCCCGTGTACCTTTCTGCTATAGGAAAAAAATAATGGACAAGTACATGGGAGATTTACGTCGCATGTGGAAAGTAGTTACCTTCTCCAAATAACAATTGTGATGGGAATATCAATTCATTGTCAAGCTGTCCTTTCGGCTTTCGAACACAGCTATGTTGCGATCTATCGTAATTGACGGCTGACATAATCATCTACTCGGGAACAACAGATACTCCATGTCCGTGTGCTTGGCATACCACGCCCCTTTTAAGACTAGCGCACCTTCCCGCGTTTGTTCTCACGCGTAAAGTGCCAGCCGCTAGCCAATCAGAGCGCGTCATTCGCCGCTCCCAACCTCCCCATATATTTTTATTCTCTCTCAAGCCACACGGGTTTTCTCTTCTCTTTGCCCCTTGATGGTAGTTTGCGTCTACGACAATTCTATATACGGAGTACATTATCGCCTCTCCTTTAATTCCTAGAATGAGCAATTTCCAACTGTGAAACAATCCCCAATCTCGCAAAAACGGAAAATCATTACCACGGACTGGAACTATACCATCTACGATAGCTCCGAATTGACAAGCATTGAATAGTCACCCGTTACCGACAGATCAAACAGGCGGTTAGAGGTCCATTACAGTTTGCCCAATTGCCCGTACTTTAATCCGCTACAAATAAATCCGGCATTGCGCGCGCGGAAGGCCTCCTTTCAATACCCGGCGCATTTCGCTCAGGACTGGCTAGGATTCCCAGGATTACTTCGGGAAAGCCATGGCTCCAAGGGGGCGCGGTGGGAAAATAGTACTAGCAGGCAGCCCACAAACGCGAAGGACAATTGGTGAAGGAGTTGGCTCAAGGTCAGTTGCAGCTGTCGCGGGCCCGTCGTCGAGGGGGGGAAGTACACGAGGGAAAGGCCGGGGACGCGGGGGTGGAAGAGGCGGTGCACGAGCGCGGAATACTGATATACAACGTGTGTTTTACTCTATCTCCTCTTTTATATTTTGTAAACGTATAACTAAACATTATCTGTTCCCGATGTAGCTGGCGACCCTCTCCCTCTCCCGCGACGCCATCGGTACAAACCCGGCACGCTTGCCCTCAAAGAAATCCGCCGCTACCAAAAGTCCTGGGACCTCCTCCTCCTCAAGCTCCCATTTGCGCGCCTCGTTCGTGAAGTAGCTGTCGACCTCCTGCCAGCCGGCGTCGGTGAGGAATTACGATGGCAGTCCCAGGCCATCCAGGCTTTACAGGAAGCCGCAGAAGCGTTTCTCGTCCACCTATTTGAGGACACGAATCTGTGCGCTATACATGCCAAACGGGTCACCATTATGCAAAAAGACATACAACTGGCCCGCCGGATTCGGGGGGCATGGGCAGGGTTAGGATAAATCTGGCCTTACCGATATGCCAGGACAAGTTTTGTTTTTTTTTTTGGGTGGGAATGGAGTGGAGTGGGGAAGTTTGTATATAGACTCATTTTTGCTACCCCCTCTGCGATTTTATTTTTTCAACTTTTCACCTTTGTTCATCCTTCAGTTGGGCATGCATTGGGTCGGTCGTCTCGGTCGGGTATAGCACTTGTATTTCCCCCTCCTCATTCTGGGCGTTATTGGGAGAGGGCTGGAGGCACTGGTAAACTATTGTTCTGCCAGGAATTTTGTCGGGCGTGTTGGAGTTTTCCTTTTTGCCTTTTACTTTTTCTCATCTTCCATTCTCATCTTGAAATCACGAGAAATTAATACCGAGTGGAAATAAACAGAAAGAGGGCGGCGCAGAGTTATAAAACAATGTTCGATTGATTGATTGAATTGTCTTTGCTAGGTATCTTTAGATGCTTGCTTTCATTTCCTCCGTTTGAGCAATTACACAGACCACATCTTCATTTTCTGTTTTCACTTGTGGTCATTCCCTTCTTGAGCGTTTGTCTCCTTCTATCTAATACCTACTTCCGTCTCTCTGCTATGCCGGCCATCAGGGTCTAATCAGATAATGTGCGTCACGGGGTTGGCCACGATCACCTCTCCCTACGGAAGAAATACTTTATGTTTAATCCACGGGATTGCTATGGATGTGTAGCCCGTCCTGCTAACCCTAGTGATATGAACCAAGTATAAAAACATGACACGCTTACAACCGGAGCTATTCATCCAACTTGATATGCGTCTTTGAGCACAGGAGGAAGATAGGGTGACAGGAAAAAAATCCGTAAAATAGCATTGTATTTCTCACGGATTCAAGCACAGAAAACCATTCCCAAAATTTTAGAAACCCCACCGAGAAGATAACGAGACGAGGGCCAAACGCCGGGCGGGATCATCATCTCGCACCCCAAACCGGGCTGCTCAGGATAATATCTAATTCCAGTTCCACAAAAACGCCAGTCATGTATGTGAGCCGTGTCGTCAACATGTCATAAAATAGAAAATTAACAACAATCAGAGTATGTCATAATCCGGGGTATCTGGTAGTAATCTCAATCAAATCTCTACTGCCTTCATGGTCATTTCCGACGACGACCGTCCCGCACTACTGCCACCCTGACTATGAGAGTGATTGCTATTACCCGATTTCATCTTCTTCAGCACAGGCGGCAATCCCAGCAGCGCAACATCTGCTTGCTCACGAGTGGCATGAGCCTCTCTCGATTTCCCTTGAGAGTCCAGCGTGGCCGCCAATAGATCCCCCGTCACGCTAATCCACAATTTGTCATCTGCCTTTCCCGCCATTGCTCTCGCGGCCCTAGCGCTTTTCTCCGATTGTTCGCCGACGACGCCGCGGAAGTATTTCCAGCTCATGAATGTAAGTGCAATACAGGTTACCTGACTGTTACCGATTGCTATGGCAGCTTGGAGAGAATGATGTAAATCGTGTTTGGTTTGGATTGTGGATTCAGTGTGCGTTGTTGCTGAGATTAGGAAATAGGCAGCTTGGATGTATCTGTTAGGGCTGGTGCGGCAGTATGGTTCGATTGTAGAAAGTACTTTGGAGGCGGCGGAGTGGGAGTGAGAGGGGCGGGATGGATCGCGTAATATAAGTGCAGAATTGAGAGCAGCGAGAATGGCTGTATCCCGGCGAGGGTCGTTGCGGGAAGATTTACTGATAGAGTGGTTAAGGGCAAAGATAGGTAGTTGGAATGTTGCGAGTGCCGTCTTCAGATCGCCTGTTCCCTGGGATATGATGCCGCTTGCATACTCCATGAGGCACGTGGTTGTTTCATCTATTTTACCTTCTAACTCGGAGACGGTTGACTTTAACTCTTTTAGTGTCCGACGAGCCAGCGCCCAATCTGTTCGGGCGCAAGCAAGGAAGATTAATTGCAAGAGCATATTGCAATATAAAGACCGTCGCCATGCAATCCTTGTAGTAGCGTATGCTAAGGATTCGGGAATTTCCTGTGGGCTTTTAAAGTTACCTATAATCGAGTCAGTGTAAAGCTCATGGAAACGCTAAGGAGACTTATAACTCACCCCGTATCATATTTAAGCCCTCGCTAAGATACTTCTCAGCCTTATGCCCGTCATGCGAATTCTTCGCAGTCAGAGTAACTGAGCTCAAGAAATAGCAAAGAGCGTAAAGATCATGCTCAGGAAGCCAGCGCAGGGTCAATAATACATTTCCATTCTCGACTCGTAGTATATCTGTTGGCTCCACGGCTGAGGGTGATATAGTTTTATGACTGAGGGGTACTGAAAAGCTCCCATCATTTTGCCAGTGAGGATCATCAATCTTCTGATCCATTACTTTCTGCATTATCTGAAGCTTTTCTGATGATTGCTTCACGTCATACTCGAGCAGGCTACAGCAGATATCCATCATCTGAATCATTGTGCTTATTTGTGGGATGTCGAGCACCTTGTTGTCGAGCTGGTAGCTCCTAGCAGTAGCTAAGGCACGCTGTGCCTGCTCAATCGAATCATGGCCTGACGAATGCTGCAGGCGTACCAAAGCTTCGATTACTGCCGAAACAACAAAAATAGCCTTGTCACCGTTGCGACTAGCGAGAGAGGATACTTTCTGTAGGTTTTGTAACGCCGCTGCAGTATCTTGCTGTGCTGGGGATGAAAGTGAGAGGGTCACTCGAAGTAAGCGGAATGCATACTCCCAAGCAGTATGACGATAGCTGCCCAGGTGGTGCGGTCAGTACGCAGTTTTAGGGATAGCGGCTGTGCAGACTCACCCCTCAACGTCACGGATAACTCCATCCACGTGTTTCATTGCCGCCCTTGGATTGGATTTATACAATATGCGGGCTAGGAGTTGCTGCATACAATATTTCAAATCGTACATTCGGTTCTGATTCACAAAATTAGTACAGGAGCAAAATGCCTTTTCAGCGGAGGCCTAGCTGACCCTTTCACATAAATCAACCTAAAATAACTAAGTTAGTCCTGGATAGTTCAGGGAAACAACATTTCTGGTGGCATACCCCTTTACTAAGTGCAGTCTCCGCTTCGGAGTCATTCTCTGTTTCTTCGTACAGTATTCGGGCATACCGTAGTCGCACCAGGGCTTCCGTTCGCGGTGGTAATTTCGAGTTCTTGAGAGAGACAAAGTCAGTTATGCTCCATATTATGCTATACGCACTGCATCACGCGTGTACGAGTAAAGTGAAGGGAGCCCAACCTTCAGCACCGCTTCCAGACATGCCAATCCCGTCGCGATCAGCTTATAATATTCATCTGTCTCAGCCTCTTCCCGCGCAACTGCCAGTGCCGTTCCCTGACTGTGCGCTGCATCAATATACTCATCTGCTAGTGACAAGAGTAGCACATGAGAATCAATTGCCGGCTTCCCAGGGGCCGCGGGGAGCAGTTGAGGCTGTGTCATCTTAACCGGGGATTTAGAACGCATGTGTTTTAGGGATTGTGATTTTTTGGGTTGAGATTTCGGTACTGACGTGCTGCGTTGTTGGGCAGCGCTAACTGCCCTATGTTGATGTAAAACGGGCTGATGAGGTATAACCACCTGAGGATACGTATGGGGAGGTGGAGAATAGGACGGGGGTTGAGGTTGTAGTTGTGACTGTGATAGTGGAGGTTGTTGAGCGGAAAATGGCTGCGGTGACGGATATGTTTCGGGCAGATTTTGGGCGGGATAGTATTGCGGGGGTGGAGCTCCGCCATAGTGAAGAGGCGCATTGTTGGCGGAGGGTGGAGGGCGAGCTTGGATAGGTCGAGGTGCATAATTTGGAGGTTGGTTCAGTGGTTGCTGTTGCGGATGGGGTGAATATTGCTGTGGTATGTAGGTAGACGTGGGTAAGATGACCTGGGGGTGGACGGGAGGCTTGTGATACGCTGGATAGGCAGTATTTGGGCCAAAATCATGTTGATGCTGTGGAGGTATTCGGGGTTCCTGTTTCGCTTGGAACGGTGGTGAATGGTGAGGGTAGAGGGGGTTTTGACCACCATGCGGAGGTTGGTAGGGCATGATCGCGGAGCCGGGAGAAGAGGCCTTTGATGTAAACAAGTGGCCCAGGCTTTTTCTATATAGCGATAATCCAGATACTTCTACGTCGTCGTCCTCTCGCCTGCGTTCCGCGCTCCAAATTTCCTGTTTGGGACAGATAGACGCCTGAGCGCTAGATTTCGCGTCTCGGGTCAGGTGACCTGATACAAGTGATGTCATAGCTCCAATCCAAGTTGGGACATCTCCCTTGAAATTCATTCTGATATAATTGGTGACATCTAGGGAATAAAAGACTTTGCAGGAGCATCGGCCTACTTTATGAGAAGATTAATAGCATATTACAATGAATACATGTATAGCTGAATATGTCTGATGTGTTCATTTACTTATTGGAAATAGCCCCGCAGGAACTATATATAGTGTCCTGGGTCCAAAAAGGTAAATTTCATTACAAAAATGTTTGTTGAAAAAAGAAAACAACCTGGGTATATATGAATTCAAATGAAAATCACACGAACCGATTCAGGCTGGAGAGGGCCGAGGAATAAATATGGTCTCGTCACTGAGTGAGTGAATACGGGATCTCCGGGGAACTGCTAGCTCTGGAAATTTGTGAACCAGTGTACATGCGACCAAGTATGGAGCCCGCCATTAAATAGATGGCTGTAAATCGGGGAGAAACACACGCGCGCAAGCGCCTAGCAATGGTACTCTCGAGGAGGGAATGATAACGGCATCGATAAATCTCCCGTTAACGCCCCTATGATGAGGATTACAGAGTACACTTAGGCCGCCGAGGTAGAGAGGCTAAGAAGCCTCTCAGTGGTGGGCAATATACGTGCGGAAATACGGAAAGCTGTCGTCAAATGGAACGTCTCTGACCCAATATGCTGCTGTGAAACGCTCAGAATTCTGCCGGCCGCGCTTACTCCCTGCCTCTTGAAGTCTGCCTAGTGCAGTGGCTGGACAGCCAAGCGAAAGGCGACTGCGCATCATGTCCATCTGGTGGGATAACATATTTCCTCATACTCATATGCAATTTAATACAAGATCTATGACACCAAAGAAGATATCACGATCAAGATCAGGCTGTTCAAGACCCAAGCCCACAACAAGAAGCCTTTTTTCATTTGGATTTTTAGTCACGATCGCAGTCGCAATCTGGCATGCGTAGAGCTGGCCAACAGTTTCTCGTTGAGTTCCGCGAGCACCAAGGACGGATGTGGCAGTAAAATTCGGTAGCGGAAGGAGTCCGTCTTCGCTTGGATTTGGAAGAGTATGATAACCGTCAGTCCCAGGATTCGAATTTTCTAAGGGGACGTGGAGCTGGGACGATCAGTATTGATATATCAATGGCTGGTTTTAGATTGGTTCATACCCATTGTCCCAGTTTGCCATTTTGAGATATAGTCACAAAAATTTTGTCAGAAAATGACACTGACATCACTTCTGTTGACACTCCGCCCAACACCCCGGCAGCCTGTCTTGTGGAAGCTGGAAATGGTAGATTGGTTTGGTCTGGCACCGGGCCGGCACCCCGCATCATCTCCTCAAGATGGACATTGGGAGGGATTGAAAGAGAGGACATAGCAATGAAATGAGTGAGAAGAATCTAAAGGGATAGAGTACAGACCCAATAAAAAATATGCACTTATTTCCTTGTGAATCGGTGCTCGAGACGTTAAGCCAGTCTGTTTGCGGTGGTCTGTCTGTGGTTTGGAATAAAAGGAAATGGAGCTGTGTCCTCACCGCCTTCTGCGGCAGAATTGCTGCTAAATAAATTTCTCTGCGGCATCAAACTGGAGAATCAGAAAGCGCTCAGTCGCCGGAAGCTCATATTGCTAGCTTTCCCGCTGCCGATAAAATGCCAAAATTCGTCCCTAGACAGCGGAAACATAAAAATAAACTAAAGGAAACCAATCCCCCTCCCCAGCAAGATACCAATGTCATCGAACTTGCGCCGGTCCCCAAGTCGGAGAAGGAAGAGAAGCGGCGGAAGTTGAGAGAAGAGTTGCGAGCACAGCAACCGAAGATTTCTGGCAAGAAGCAAAAGAGACTTGATAAATATATTGTATGTATAATTAATCCTCTTCCTTGTTTATTTTCATTCCGTAAAATACTAACTTCTCGCCACAGGAAACTAAATTAAAGAAGGATGAAAATCTTATACTTCTCAAAAAGCTTGCGGACGCAAAAATAGATACTAGTCAATTACAAAGCTCAAGAAATCTAGGGAAACAGAAAGGAAAAAAGGCTCGATTCTCAGTGACGAAAAGCGAATATGGTAACACCTCTGTCCAACAAGCGCACGCCTCAGACAATGAACCAAACGAGACCCAGCCGATCAAGTCGGCATTGTTCACCTCTGCCATTGCGACTACTAGTACCACCAGTAATACAGCTGGGCCTGGGAAGCTTGCTATTGGAAGTGGCTTAAAGCGACCTCTGGAACTTGGAGAAGACGGGTTTCCTGTCATGAAGAAGCGGAAACGTGCCCCAAAACCAAAGCCTATTACAGAGGAGCCTGTCTGGGATGGATTCGAAAGCGATAGAACCAATGATGCAACAGAAGACTCAGAACATTCCGGTAGTGATGCGAGTGATGATGAAGATAGTTGCCCTGGAAGCGATATAGGATCAGGACAAAGCGATAGCGAGAATGACGAAGATGACGAACAGAACGACCAGTCTTCAAGTTCCGATGACGACCCCGGCGAGCACACAATAATTCGACCACGAAGTTCAGCATTTAAAGCATGGGCGGTACAGCAAATAAACGAAGCGGTTGGCTTTAAACCCACAGAACATGCTTCTCCTCCAATTTCTGTTTCCCAGCCAGAAAAGCCAGCGACGTCGCGCCCGGCCGAGGACGAACCTTTGCCTGCTGAATTGCAAATCCCAAAAGGAGATCCGAATAGAAAGGCCTTCGCCGTCCAAGTAAATCGGCCTGAGGACATACAGGCATCGCGCCTCGGCCTACCCGTTGTTGGGGAGGAACAAAAAATTATGGAAGCTATCCATAATAATCCTTCGGTTGTCATCTGGGGCGCTACAGGAAGTGGTAAAACTACACAGTTACCGCAGTTCCTCTTCGAAGCAGGATACGGAAACCCTGAAAGCCCCAATCCGGGGATGATCGGAATAACTCAACCGAGACGAGTCGCAGCGGTCAGCATGGCGAAGCGAGTTGCCGATGAGCTAGGTCAATTTTCAGACCAGGTTTCATACCAGATCCGATTCGATAGCACAGTGTCAAGCAAAACAGCAATAAAATTCATGACAGATGGTGTTTTGATAAGAGAAATCGCCCAAGATTTCTCGCTTTCGAAGTATTCGATAATTATTATTGACGAAGCCCACGAAAGGAGTGTTAACACAGACATTCTCATTGGTATGGTGAGCAGAATAGTGGATCTGAGGAAAGCCATGCACGCGGAAAACCCATCTGTAAAGCCACTCAAGCTAGTTATTATGTCTGCTACTTTACGTATATCGGATTTCCTCCAAAATGAAAATCTCTTCCGGCAAGGGCGGCCTCCATTAGTCCAAGCTGAAGGACGTCAATACCCTGTCACTATCCATTTTTCACGCCGCACGCATAGCGATTATGTCGAAGAGGCTTTCCGAAAAGTCTCCAAGGGACATAGGAAGCTGCCGCCGGGAGCATTCCTTGTTTTTTTGACGGGGCAAGCAGAGATTAAAGACCTAGCCAAGCGTCTTAAACAGACCTTCAGGTCTACGCATGACACTGATCCTTTCCGGGGTAAGGTTAAACTTTCAGCAGTGGAAGCCCCCTTAGAAACTGAGGATATTGAACTTGGAACAACATCAGCGACCATGTATGATGGTTACGACAGCGATATCGAGATTATAGGATTAGACGATGATGAAAATGACGATGACGACTTTGACCATGAAGAAGGCGCTGTTGATTCAGGAACAAAAGTCCACGTCTTGCCTCTTTACTCCCAGCTCCCTACGAAGGAACAGATGAAAGTGTTTGAGCCCGTGCCGGAGGGTTCCCGTCTCATTGTCTTGGCCACCAATGTGGCAGAGACAAGTTTGACGATCCCCGGCATTAGATATGTATTTGACTGCGGCCGTTCCAAGGAAAAGCAATACGACGTTGCGACTGGAGTTCAGAGTTTCCGGATCGGATGGATAAGCAAAGCCAGTGCTAGCCAACGGGCTGGTCGAGCTGGAAGAACAGGCCCTGGGCATTGCTACCGACTTTACTCTTCCGCTGTTTTTGAAGGTGAATTCGAAGAGTATACACAGCCGGAAATCCTGCGGACACCAATTGAAGGAGTTGTCTTGCAGATGAAGAGCATGGGGCTTCACCACGTTATCAACTTTCCCTTTCCAACTCCACCGAATCGAACGAGCCTTGCGAAAGCGGAAAAATTACTGCGGAACCTTGGAGCCCTTACCTTGGATGGCCAGGTCACTGACACGGGCCGCCATCTTAGTCTTTACCCACTTTCCCCAAGGTTTGGCAAGATGCTTCAAATCGGCCATCAGCACGGTTGTATGCCCTACGCCGTGGCTTTGGTTTCTGCGCTCGCGGTATCGGACCTCTTTGTCCAGGAAAACCAACTCGATCTTAACCCCACGCGGAAGGGAGATGACGAGGAGAATAAAATTTACACAAACGCGGATAGGCTCGAGGATACTGCGAGGGAAATGCGACGCAAAGATTATAACCGCGCCCGCCGTATCTTCAGCAAATACGACGATAAATCTGACGCCCTGAAGTCCCTCGCAGCCGTATGTGCGTACGCATACGCAACAGATGGCGACTCCTTCTGTTCCCAAATGTTCCTCCGTCCCAACGCAATGAAAGAAGCCTCCCAGCTTCGCCGCCAGCTTTATGAGATCGTCCGCAGCAATAACCCGAGTATCACGAACCCATTCGAATCACGCCTCCCTGAACCCACCGATAAGCAACTCCGCGCTTTGAAGCAAATCACCGCCGCAGGTTTCATCGACCATGTCGCAATCCGCGCAGACATGGCTCCCGTCCCGCCTGAAATGCCCCGCAAGCCCCGTAGAGCCATAGATGTCCCCTACTTAACCCTCTTCTCATCCCGCGACGGATATGCCAGAGAACTCGATGAGAAAGCCGTATATATCCATCCCACTTCTGTCCTCTCGCAACTTTCAACCACAGAACTTCCACAATACCTTATCTACTCTCATCTCCAACAATCCGCCCCAAGTGCTATCTCTGATACCCCCACCAAGGTCCGAATGTTCCCCCTGACGGCTGTGAGCGGGCTACAACTCTCTGCTCTGGGGCATGGGACACCTTTGATCGAATACGGGAAACCGATTGGGAAAATTGAACCTGTTGCTGGCGCATCGGATAAGCGCGAGTGTTGGGTTATTCCGTCGCTGAAAGGGGATCCTGGAAGCACGGGGTGGCCGTTACCAGCAAAGAAGGTGGTGCAGAGGAAGGATAGGAAGCATGGGTGGGTAATTGAGAAGTTTATTAAGTAGCATTATTTTATCTATCGCTGTATATATATTCATGAGTTGGGCTTCGGCTATATAATTGGCGTTTCTGAGGGTACATTTAGAGAGATTATCTCGGATGATTGAGAGGACCGTTGCACATTTCATAGTACAGAGTTATATTCATGAAATAAAAATGAATCCACATAATTTGAAGCCAGTCGTTGATGCATAGCTTAATTTTCAAACGCTCTTATCGGCTTCAACAAACCATTGACGCTTCAAAACAAGCAGAGCAGACCTTCCCGCAAGAACGCCTTAATGCGCCAAATAATCCACAACAGTTCATATCCAGATAACACATAAAGTACACGGCCTTTCCTCTCACCGGTCTCGCCGAGATCTACTCTGATACCCATCCCGATCCCGATCCCGGTCCCGGCTCCGCTCCCGGTCTCGATGCCCATCTCTATGCCCAGCTCTATCACTTTCTCCTTCCCTTTCCCTCTCCCTCCCCACCTCCCTCCCCACCTCCTTCTTCTCCCGCCGCCTCCCACCATTGCCACCCCACCTCCACTCATCCCCCTGCTCCCCATCCCCTCTAATCCCCAAAGCCCTCCTCAACCTCTCGCTCTCCTCAATCTTCGCCTCCGCCAGCTCATGCACCTGGTATGTCTTAAACTGTTTCCTTCCCCCCTTAACCCTCTCACCATCCCTTGCACCAAGCTGTCCACGCCTGCTATCACCACCACCAAGACGACCCCCCTTCAACTCCTCCTCCAACTCCCCCACCAGCCTCTTCCGTATCCCATCCAACCTCTCCTCAATCTCCTCTTCCGACAACTTATCCCCCCCTCCCACCCCCTCATTCGCCTCCTCCAACCGATCCCGCTCCTCCAAAATCTTCACCTCGATCGCCCGCCGCCGATCATGCTCTAGGATCTGCTGGTCCGGCTTGCGCTGCTTGAAGGAGCCGTTGGATTGGCGGTCTGTGTTGGCACCGGTGGCTGACGGGGGCGGGTAAGGGGCGCCGCCGTAGCCGGCATCGCGCGGCTTGAGGAAGGAGAGGTTGCGCTGGACGTAACCGGATGTACCGCTGCCGCGCGGGGTGGAGAGGCCGACGTTTGAGGACATTTGTGGATCGTTGTGGGCGGGGTTTTAGTCGCTTGGGATGGTTTGGAGGTGATGGATGGTGAATTGGTGAGTGGATGCGTGTATATCCTTTATCCGCTGGTTGGCTGACTGGCCTTGTAAGGGGCGAAGGTTTGTAGATAGACGTACGTGCGTAAGCCGGTGGATGAATATGTGATGACTTATTACAGAGGTCGTTGGGCTTGCTGATATTTTCTCCTTCTCTCTCTCTTATCCTGCCTGGTAGCTTGAAATTAGTCCCCGAAGCCAGTCGGAAATTTCCTTCTATCCCCAAGTGTGCACTGCGGAGACAGTTGCGGCGGTAGCACGGAGCAGTAGAATTTGCCGCTCCTGCTCAGCAAAAAGGTCTAGATAGCCTAGGAAAACTTGACAAAGAAAGTGTTTTTCGTCTTGGAATTATTCCGCCATATGGTTCGATAAGACGAATCAGTATTCCTCCTCTTCGTCGCTAGTTGGAGTCGGGAAGAAGGGATGAGGGTGTTTGTTCATGGGACATCATCCACATATTGTGATCGCCACGTGACCGCGGTGCCCAGAACAGCGCTTGCTGCCAAAAAGGAGTAAAGGAGTTACGCACAGCAGTGAAAATAATGGTCTAGTATGTCGTGATTGATTCCTATTTATTAAATGATATATGCAAAGGAGTAAAATAGGTAGGATAATAACTATATACATGTTAAGACAATGAAGTAGAAAAAAAAGGTTCCCAAAAGTTCGCCAAAAAGGAATCAAAACATATTAAACAAGTCTCTCCAAGACCTAGTTAAATTACCTGCATAGTCAGATAGATATTCTAGGAAGGTATATGGGGTGTGCCTAGGCCACCCAATTTCCCCAAGATTCTTCTTCCTCTCCTCATCTTCTTCTCGTGAACCCACTTCTCACTCCGCCCGCTCAGCTCCACCCAAATACCTCCCCAACACTAAGCGTACTCCACCTTACCCCAGCCACCGAAACAAACAGCACAACCACATCCACAACCGCCAACACCACCGCCCCCATCATGAACCGCGGACAGAAAATCCGATAGAGCATCAGGTGTCTGCGCAACCAGCCCGCCCACATTGTCGTCGCCAGGTTGATCGTGGCATAGTATAGGATATGCGTCGCCGCCGCCTGCGCGACGTCAGAGAGGAGCCGGCTCGCGCCGTTCTTGGATGGCGATTTAGTAGGAGCTGCTGGCGTCTGCGAATGCGAATGCGCCTGCGCCTGAGTCGATGAGGAGGACGGTGTCAGCGGGCCGCCACGGGCATCAATAGGACGCTTCCACAACACGGTCAGCGGCACGGCGACGGCGGAGAGTATCTGTGCACCAAAGGTATTCAATACAACAACGAGAGGAGACCAGGGATACTTGACCGTGGTGAGAGGCACGAAGGCGATTTTCCACTGTATGCTGCTCAGCGTAGCCTGGTGGCCCGTGGTGAAGAAGTGGAAGGAGCCCAGGAGACCCAGCACGACGGGGCCGATTGCCGAGTTGCTCGTCGTCAGCCCATTTGTATCGAGGATTTCGAGCAGGGAGAGGATTTGCCAGGTTTGCAGGCCGATGGTGCCGCCGCCCATGGGCTTTTGGAGGAGGATTATGGCTAGGGCGAAGTTTATGAGGAGGATGGCGTAGCGCGTGCCATGGACGTTGGCGTAGCCGAGGATTGTTACTACGGTTTTTGGCTGAGGTTGTGGTGAGGTGGTAGGCGTTGCTGGGTTTTTGGGGTTGGGGGTCATGGCGACGCTGATGCAAGGTTTGGCCCACCCGAAGGTTGTGGTGCCAGCGGCGAAGGCGATGGCTAGGACGACCTGAGCGAGGACCACGCGGGTATTTTTAACCATGGATTTGGAGAGGGAGGGGAACCAATCGCCATCTTCAGCAGCGTCGATAGTCCAGAAAACGGCTACGATGAAGAGGCCAGTGCGGAAGGCGATGCCGATCCAGAATATAGCAGAGCCCTCGTATGACTTGGTGCCCCGGTAGTAGGAGCGGATGACGGAGGGTAGGATTATTGCTACCAGGAGAGGGATAAATAGATGCCACCATGCAGAAGTAGATGACGTTGAGGAGGCGTAGTATGTAGATATGCAGTAGGGCATCTGTTCTTCGCGACAGACGCGGGAGAGAGATGCTATTCTCCCGAGGACCACGAAGACGATGGAATGGTAAAATCCAAGCACCCTATCTTCCGTACGCTTCTGACGCAGTGAAGATAGAGCGGCCACAACGCCAAAGGTCGTTAGGAAGAAAAATAGTATCTGATCTTCCCAGATGGTGTATGAGTTGGACGCGAACCCTACAGACTGTGACACCGTAAATATAACCGCGAGCCATGCCCAGAGCGAGTTTGGCAGGGGTGAAAATATCCGTTTCGGCACCCACAAGACCGTCGACGATACTGCCAAAATTCCGCCAACGGCTATGCCAAGCACGAGTCCCTGTATACGGGATAATTGGACGATCCGCGTTCCAGTTAGTATCATCCCGCCCATTACACCAATTCCGGAACCAGCTCCTATCCGCCGGAGCGTGGGGTATGAAAGATCAGTGCGGTCGCCCCGAATCCCTCGAGCATAGAATACCAACAGGACAACGCCAGCGAAGAGAATCAATATCCCCTGAACCATGCTGGGGACATCAAATCTAGCCCACAGACCCTTACAGACATGCAGCGTATCTCGCTGATACTCGCGGTACGACTCGTATACCTTTTGAAGGACCGGTCGATGTCGATCTGACCCACCCTGCTGATGCTGATGCTGAGACATGGAATTCCAGTCCTCTTCCGCACGAGCCCAGATCCCTAATGGTCCAGAGGTATGACTCTCATCAACGCCCCTCGCAAGTGCATACTCATGCTGATAACGTTTAATCTGCGCAGACGCAAGCCTATTGACACGGACCAAGTTGCCCAAGTCGCGCCCGCCCGTGCCAGAGAAGGCCTCCTCAATTGGCGATCCGAGGCTGTTGAACGGAATGGGGATTCCCAGTAGCAGCGCCAGCGTCGGAACAAAGTCGATCTGCGGGACGGGCCGTTCCTTCGCCGTCGGCGGCGGTGCTAGGACCATATCATTCGTCCGCCCAAAGACCCCCGCCCGCTTCGAATACATCCACAACGCAGCTTCAACCTCATCGTCCGACTCGCCCCCATGATCACCCTTGCCATCCATTCCATGATCCCCCATAACAACAAGCAGAGTCGACTCATCAATAGATCTTATGACATCGCGTACGACTTGATCCATCTGGTTCAACTTCGCCGCCATGGCTGCATGATTCGGCCCGTATCGATGGCCCGCATGGTCAACTCCGAGAAAGTGGCCAACGACCACATCCCACTTCGTCGCATTGTTCGCATGCAGGAGCGGGAATAGATGCTCTATAACCCCATTGTCGACCGTGTGCAGGTCACGGACATTAAACGAATCGTACGGGTGTGATAGGTCTGCGTCGAAAAGGCCAGGGAACAGCGACTGCCACGTATCATCCCCCAAATGCACGATTCGCTTTCCCGCGCCGTGTAGCTGCGCGATGAGGTTATCCTCGTCGATAGCCGTGCCGGCAAAATTCGAGCCAGCGTCTATGAACGTGGGTAATGTGCCTGTTGTCAAGCCCTTGAGTCGCTGTAGTGTGGTTGTGGGTGCATCGGCGATGAAGGGAAGCAGAAAGGCCTTGTCGGGTGACTCTACGGCAGTTTCGTATAGGATGGGGAAATGGTTGTGGAAGTGTTGAGGCTGTTCTCCTTCTACGGTTGGCCGGAAGGGGACGGTAAAATCATATCGGAGAGCGTCTATTACTAAGACAATAGCTTTATCAAATGTTTTTGGATGCCAGCATCCTCGATCTGTCGCAACCTGTGACGAATCTGCACCCACCGCCGCTGCTGCTGTTCCTTCAAATGGCAGCACAGTACACTCCGATTTATTCTCCAACACCAACCGCGCTAATAGGAATCCCTTGGTAAAGAAGAATATACCAACGAGATGAACGAACCTGCGTTAAAAAGAAAATAGAAACAGGAACAGAAATTAGTCCCGTCGAAGAATACAAGAAGACACAAGAAAACAACACGACGGCAGCAACTCACAAAAACCACCCTAAAACCCCCAACACCCCCGCATGTTCAATCGTAAACAACCTCTCCTTCAATTTATTCCTCTGCACATCTCTTTCCTTCGCAGCTTTTACTAGCGCTTCCTCGCCCGCCGTACATCGGCCTGCACCTGCACCCGCACCCACACCCTCACCCTCACCCAATGTAGCACGCTGCCTTATTTTCTGCGCAGCAGCAACCTTCTGCGCCTCCTCCTCCTCTGCCAAAGCCTTCGCGCTCGCCCATTGCGCTTTTATTTTGCGGAATTCATTTGTGGAAGATTGCGGTTGTGGGGACGTTTTCCTGTGAGCCGCGCTTTTCGTAGGAGATGAGGCGGCGGGCTTCATTTTTTTTTTTTTTTTTTTTTTTTTGAGGATCGTAAAGGATAGCTAAGGGGGTTAAGGTAGGGATTGGTATTATATCGATATTATATCGACCGCGTCCTTCTCAATTTCTTCTCAATTTATTTCGAAAGAGGCGCATAAATTTCATCCCCCTATAGCGGCTAGGTTATGCGCTGTATGTGTGTATGCCTATGGAAAACCTTTACGCTTCTCCTGGAGATCATGCGTCTAGCTTCCCTCACGGATGAGAAGATACATCTGGCGCCAGACGGGTGTAATTGTGGACCATAGCAGTTGTAGTCGGCGTCGTAGTAGTAGTAGCAGTAGCAGCGAAATTATTAACCATACTCGTACCCATCATACCCATGCTCACAGTTTGCCGCGGAAGAAAGAGGTAGTCGTATCTCACGCAGTGGGATAGTTAGGGACGGGTCGCACTATGGTTAAGTTGTTCGCCCGCGGGCTGATCTGTAGAGATATTTAGTTGCGGAGGAAAGGGGAAAAAGGGGAAGGTGAAACAGTGCAAGCTGAAGGAAAGATCTGAAGGGCCCCCAGTAAGGGGGGGAGAGAAGACCGATTAAAAATACTAACGTGTTCTTCAAAAACCCCTTCTCCAAATACGAGCCATTGGCCCCGTTTTCTTGGTCCGGTGTAAAGTTGCAAGGTGCGATATTGCAAGCCAAAAAACCCGGATCGAGCAGGTTGGAGTTTCGGAGCGAGCCGCTGGACCTCGCGGCTACATCATGTGATGCATGTAACTATCAAGCGCCGAAGTTGATCGTTGAAAGTTAATGTTGACAACAACAACAA